TTGTCCCTCCTCCTGTATGTGGCTGTCCCATGTTTATTACAGGCTCAGACATAGATATATCAGTGACCATGACAGAGAATTGGGAGGAAGCGCCCCAGTTCCCTGGGTGGGTATGTTGAGGGTGAGTTGGTTTTTCTGGTTACTTGTCTTCAGAGTTCTCATCACAGACACACTCTTGATTGCCTTGTGCTCTTTATTCGTGAGCCCCCAGACAAGGACTGTACCTGATAGGCTTACTGATCTCCTTGCCTCTTCTGTTTTCATAGGAAGCACCGGAGAGCACGAGACCGGTCCAGGTCATCATCTTCTTCCTCCCAGTCATCCCACTCCTACAAAGCGGAAGAGTACACTGAAGAGACGGAAGAGAGAGAGGAGAGTACCACGGGCTTTGACAAATCAAGACTGGGGACCAAAGACTTCGCGGGTCCAAGTGAGAGAGGAGGCAGAGCTCGAGGGACCTTTGTAAGACTCTGCCCCCCCTTTCTTTAAGCCCTTTCTCCTGCTAATTCTAATTATGTGCTTATCAGAATATTTATTTTGTTGCCCTTGATACAGGTGATTAGGTCAGGAGACCCTGGAATCTGGTTTCCCATTCCCCAGGCTTTCCATTTTTAATTTTTTTTTTTTTTTTTCCTATTCATAATCACTTAGCCAGAAAGCCTCTTCGGGCTTCTAGTCTGGAATTCCTCACTTGTTTTAACTCCTGCTGTATGTAGGGGAGGCCATTATGGCATTGTCCCCTGTATGGGCTATAGAATTGAGATAAACAGAAAGGTCCTGTTAACCAGCATATTGACTGGAGGACGGCAGAAAAGTGTTTTAATAGAAGACAAGGAGTTGTTTTTCTCCATTCCTTACATGGACCCTTTGTCCCTTTCCCTGTGTATTGCCATAGCAGTTTCGAGCCAGAGGAAGAGGCTGGGGCAGAGGCAACTATTCTGGTAACAACAACAGCAGCAGCAACAATGATTTTCAGAAGAGAAGCCGGGAGGAGGAATGGGACCCTGAGTACACACCCAAAAGCAAGAAGTACTACTTGGTATGTGTCGGGATAACCAGGAAGGGTGAGGGGGCCTTTGACATACACAGTAGCTGATGAAGTGAAGTGAAGTCGCTCAGTCATGTCCGACTCTTTGCGACCCCATGGACTGTAGCCCCCCAGGCTCCTCGGTCCATGGGATTTTCCAGGCATGAATACTGGAGTGGGTAGCCATTTCCTTCTCCAGGGGATCTTCCTGACCCAGGGATCGAACCCAGGTCTCCTGCATTGTAGGCAGACACTTTACCGTCTGAGCTACCAGGGAAGCCACAGTAGCTAATAGTGAGACTTTAATTGATTTTTCCAGAACTGTGTGCAGGTGTGGCACTGGGTACTTGCGGGCTAGTATAGTTCTGGCAAGATGACTGTTGTCCAGAGAGGCAGTCCTGACCTTGAAAGTGTTATCTAAGATGTTTATGGATTCCAGGATAAGCAGGAAAGGTTGCTCTTGCCTTTTTGTCTTTGAAATCGTCTTACTGCTCACCCCCCCTAAGCCTCCCTTCAGCCTTTACAAGGGATAGAACCATTATCTTCCCCAGAGGCGGCAGTTCCACCTTGTCACGCCCCTGGACAATATGGACAGGAAAGACAGTTCTCTTTTTGAGGGAGGGCACCTGTCTCCAGAATGAAACACCACTGGAGCTGGGCTCTTCTAGGCTGAATTATTTGGCCACTGAGAGAGCTCTCTTGCCTTGCTGTGTTAACAGCAGACTCAGATCCAAGCAGATGTGACTGAGTGTTGTAACCAAGGTAATCTTACTGCTGAGTCTCATCACCCATGAGGACTGGCCTGGAAACAGGAAGCTGGGAAGCAGGTTGCTGTGTAAATCATTGTGCATAGCCAACTTCGCTTTTCTGGGGCTGCTGGAAGCTACTCTGAGACTCCTAGAGGACCCTTGAACCTATATGTAGGAAAATGTTGGCTGGGCCCAGGATAGGTACTGGAGTGGGGCTGTGTAGAGGAAGGATGAGAGGTTGTACAGAGTCCCTTCCCTGCCCTGTGTCCCTGAAGGAGCGTTGCCAGCCTGATTCATTCAGGCTTGTGGAGAAGCTGGCCCTTAGCTGGACTAACCCCTCAGGAGCCGCAGGTCCTGCTTGTGTGGGTGGAGGGCTCAGACTCTTTGAAGCCATGGGGCGGATGAGGTGACAGTGACTTTTCAAAATCCTTTCTCATTCATTCTTTCATTGGTTCCCTCCTCTCTCATTGGTTCCCTCCTCTCTCATGAGATCATCAGAGCAGGGACTGAGTTATAGGTTTTGTTTTTTTCTACTCTGCCACACTGCCTTCTTGCATAAAACTAGAGAAGGGAGGAAAGATACAAGACAGGAGGCTGGGTTCTGGCCCTGCCTTTGCCAGTACTGATCCTTGACCATGAGCCATATGCCCTTGGTCTCACTGCCTGTTCTTGGCTGAGGTGGGGAGGCTTGGGGAGAGCTGGATAAGACTCCCAGCTGTGTGTGTATTCTGTGTTGCTTCCTCTCTTAGCTTACAGACAACTCAGATCAGAAATAGTTTCATGTTTGGGGGTGATTGGCTTACACTCCCCCACCCCCTCCTTGAGAGAGTGTGTTATAAACAATATGGAGTTACTTAAAGTTCCTCCGGCTGTTTTCTTATCTGCGTAGTGGAGGGTGATAATAATAGGGTAGGGTAGATGTGAGGATTAAATGAGATAATGTAGGAGAAGGTCTTTGAAGATTTTATCATCATCATCATCGTTATAATGCCTAAACAACTGTTAGAATTCAAGGAACTGAACTGAATATTCTCTTAGATCTCAATCAGTAGCATTTTTTGAGTAGGGGACAGAGAGGACAGGACATAGGTTCATTTGGCAGAGTCACGTTTGGTAGGTGCAGAGGAGAGGCTGCTCTTGTTTACTCTGGCATTGATGACCGTTTTCCTTTTCTTTTAAGCATGATGACCGTGAAGGCGAAGGCAGTGAGAAGTGGGTGAGCCGGGGCCGGGGCCGAGGAGCCTTCCCCCGTGGTCGGGGCCGGTTCATGTTCCGGAAATCCAGCACCAGTCCCAAGTGGGCCCATGACAAGTTCAGTGGGGAGGAAGGAGAGATTGAAGACGATGAGAGTGGGACAGAGAACCGAGAAGAGAAGGACAATTTACAGCCTACAACTGAGTAGCGGCCACCCTTGTCGGGAGCCCCTGCCCGAGGGAGAGAGGCGCCGGGAAGATGGCTGGTGAGGAGCTAAACAGAGGAGCCTCGAGAAGATTCTGAAAATCCCACCCCTACCCCCCCACCAGCCACGCAAAATCCTACAACTGCCGAAGAGCATCCTGGCGTCCCACCAGACAGAGGCAGCTGGCTGTGGGGCCTGGGGTCAGGCCCAGCTCTTGAGCAGAACACACCATGTTGGGCTTTAGCTATGTGTTTCTCGTTTATTGTTGGTGTGTGGGGTGGGGGCTGGGGTAGGGAGGGCAGAGCGATAACTTGGATTTTGGTTTGTTCCGTGTTAGAAACCAACAGTTTTATTCTTCATTTCATTTCATTTGGAGCTGAGGACTAATTTGATGATTTTCAGTCTTTCAATCCTTATTTTAAAAGCCCCCTCTTTTTTTTTAGGCATATATAGTAACATTAGCAGAAAGATTTAATTTGGGCAACTTTGATTCTTAAAAGAGAAAACAAAGCATGTGAATAAATATTGACGTGTTCACCTCAGTTTGGGACCAAACTGCGTGGGTCTTTGTAAAAATTGGTTTTGTATGTCGAGGAGGAGTTCAAGGCCTTTCTGACCACCTTGTGTTCCCCTTTTCTGCGCAGCCATGTATCATGTGGTGTTGCTCCTAACCACACCCCATGTGCGCACCTCCCCTCCCCCCCAATATTTTCTGATTTCTTGTGGGCTGGGCTTCCCCTTCTCCACCAGCAGCTCCAGTATCCCAAACTTTCTAGTCCTGCTGATCCTCTCAGCAACAGGGGTGGAAACTGGATGGCAGTTTCTGGTCTGTTTTCTAAGAAACTTCTGACTTCTATTATCTTTACAAATATAAGATGAGAAAATAATTTTTTCAATATTTTTTATTAATCTTTTTATAAAATGAAAAGAAACTCCTATGATCGATTAAGGAAGGTGGTTATGGCTGGGTGGTTTGTGGGGGTTTTTTGTTTTGTGTTTTTTTTCTTTTTCCTTTTTTTTCTTTTTAACCTTAAGCTTTAAGTTGAAACATTCTCCGATGTTTGGGGGGAAAACATCCTCTTAAAATGGGTCCTTGTGCTTGCCTTCTGGGGAGGCGGTCCTGAGCAGGTGAATCATATGGCATTTATGCATATGTTATATGCGGACTGCACCCACCTCTTCCCCCCCCCCCCCAACCTTTGCCTCCTGGGTTGTTATGCTACTTTCCCCTTACTTTGCTACATTTCTATAGTTAAGTTGGTTTTACTTGAATGATTCATGTTTAGGGGGAAAAAAAAAAAGAAAATACCCTTAAGATTTGTTTCAACTCCTCCTGCAAATAAAATAAATGAAGTGGCAGATGTAAATGGTTCTGGTCATTGTCACCCTGAGTGGGTGTGGGTGGGTGTGGTGGGGGGCAGGTGGTGGATGTCCCCCATAGCAGCTTCAGGGAACCAGAGAGATGAGATGTCTGGGGGGTTTGGGCCCAGACTGTTGCAGCCCCATCCCCTCCAGCCGCACACAAGATTGTTCTGGGAGGAGCCTCAGCCAGTCTGTGTTGGGTAATAACTCCACATTCCCATTCCAGTGATTTTGCTTCATATCCTGTTCCTTAGACACCCTAGGAGAACCAGATTTTTCCACTCTGGTGTCATTGTAAGCAAGGACTTTGGTTCCAAAGCAGTGGGGCAGGGGTCAAGGGGTGTGGGTAACAGGCGTGGCCTTCTGTGTGTTCACCACTAAGCAGGAAGATGATCTGAAAGTTAGCCCGGCCCACCTGGGACTGGCACTAACCTTTGCCAGCTCTGGCCTTGGCTGTAGGAAAGCACGAGCCTTGAAAGCTCCCGAAGTTGCCTTCCTGTCTTCCCCTGAGGAGAATCCTGAGGTGTTTCTTGAAACCAAGCTAGGCCCAGTGGCCTGAAGAAAGGGTTTTTAAGCTCCTCCTCTCCCCTTGAAGGGACCACAGGGATGAATACACCTCCCAAAGAAAGCAGCAATAACTTTGTGCACACTGAGCAACCACCCGCTCCACCCATCCAGGACCCGTCTGAGAGCGGTTGCTGCCTGCTGGGGGCCCCACCCTGGTATGCTGTCTCGACTCCCATGCAGCTAAAAGCCAGGAGAGTGTAAGCCAGGGACGGCTCTGTGCCAATGGCGAGTGGGAGACTCGGCCAAGGCTGGGATAAGGAGGGGAGGTAGCTGGGCAGATAGCTTGTGCGGGAGCTGTGACCCCAGCACTGGCCAGAGGTCCTGGAGTACTTACCCATAGTTGGGGGGCCGAGCCTGCCGATCCGGGCCGCCCCCTCCTACACCCACTCCCTGCACCTGGAGCCCAACCTATGGGCTTGCGTCTCCGCCTCCTTGGCTTCACAATCTCGCGGTTAGTCCCACCCTACCTGGACCCAGTACTCGGCTGCCAACGCTACCACACCATCCTTCCCTGCTCGGCTCCGGAAGGAGCCCCGGAAGCCATGGGTATGTGCAGAGGGTTTGGGGTGGCTTTTCTGTATGGAAATAGCATTAAAGGCCTACACCACTACTCCGCTCTCCCGCTGTCCACACTGGGTCCGGGACTCGCGCCAGGGCCAGTCAGCCCCGGCTGGGCTCTTCTGAACCGCGTGCTCGCGCCATCCTCCGCCCGCAGAGGTGCTGGTCCTGGCCGGATATCGCGCGCAAAAGGAGGACGAGCTGAGCCTGGCGCCTGGTGACGTGATCCGGCAGGTGCGCAAGGGGCCCGCACGGGGCTGGATGCGTGGAGAGCTGGGGGGCCGCTGTGGCCTCTTCCCGGAGTCCCTGGTGCAGGTGAGGTCGAGTCGGAGGTCAGGCGGGGGTTCTCTGCGCGCTCCCGAGGTAGCCCCTCTTCCGGTGCGCTCTTTCGCAGGAGATCCCGGAGACTCTCCGCTGCTCGGGGGAGACGCCGAGACCGCGCTGTGCGCGCCGCCGAGGTGAGCGCGGGAGCACGTGGACGCGCAGCCCCCCAGCGCCCGGGTCGTCCCTAACTCGCCTTGAAGGGCGCGGCTCTGGGCGGGGCTGCGCGGCCACCACGCGACCCGTGATTGGTTCTCGAGTACAATGCTCCGCCCTGGGGTGGGGCCTGGGCGCACAAGGGTTCGAGCGCGTCCCGCCCCTCCCCCAGCTCCGCGGTCTGGAGCGCGAGACTCAAGCTGCTTCACTCTCGTCCGACACCAGGTCGCTCAGTCAAATTTCTGGGCCCCCGAAGATGGTGCAAGGCAAACTTCAACTACACCCCGGAGCAGGCGGACGAGCTGCAGTTGCAAGCTGGGGAGATTGTGGAAGTGATAAAGGAGGTGAGGGGATGAGGTGATGAGAGGGGTTTGAGGGGAGACGATGGAATCTGAGTGAGGAGACATGGGTGCAGTGAGGTTGTGGGTGATGGAATCGATGAGTGGCACAGAAGTGGGAAAGTGAGGGAGCAAGGGAGGAGGGGGTCATCGGGCAGAATCGGGGTGAATCAGGGTTTAAGATTGCTAGGGAGACGCTTGGGGCAGAACCAGATGACCCTGTGTCCTCTCCCCTTCCCAGATTGAGGACGGCTGGTGGCTGGGGAAGAAGAATGGGCAGCTGGGAGCCTTCCCATCCAACTTTGTGGAGTTGCTGGACAGTGGGCCCCCAAGTGAGACCTGGACCCTGTGACCCCATGAACCCCTGTGACCAGAATACAATCGTCAGTGACCTGCCCCAGTGGCCTGAACCTGTGATCTGCACATCTTGCCCTATGACCCCTTTGACCTCTCCCATGACCTCAACTGAGTTAGCACCCTCCCTAACCTCACTATCCCCCACCAGGCCTTGGCAATCGAGACATCCCTTCAATCATCCTTGGTCCCCAGCGGCCTCAGAAGGTAAACTGGGTGGAGTGGGCAAAGAGGTGGTGAGTGCCTCTTAGGGGGTTGGAGGCTCAGCTTGGTCCTTCCCCTGCCCCCACTAGCTGAGCAGCCTGACCTATGACAGCCCTCCAGACTACCTGCAGACAGGTGAGCACTCTGCCAAAGGGTCCCTCAAAATCCTCTTCCCCAAGCCCCTGTGACTTGGGGGAGGGGGTGCTCAGGTAGGCTGATGGAGGAGGGAGCCTGTGACTTGGTTGGGGAGGGGACTTGGCTTCAGTGAACTGAATCCCCCTCAGTCTCCTACCCCGAGACCTACAGGGTCATGTTTGACTACCATCCTGAGGCCCCAGACGAGTTGGCGCTTCGGAGGGGTGATGAGGTGAAAGTACTGAGGAAGGTGTGCAAGGCACAGGGCAAGGGAGGGCACAGGGGATGGGGGATGTTGAGAAGGGTGGGCGTAGGGAAGGAAGGAGCTGGGGGGTCTGGCTCACCTCCCCACGACCTCTTGCTCTCCCAGGTCACAGAGGATAAGGGCTGGTGGGAAGGAGAGTCTCAAGGCAGAAGAGGACTTTTCCCGGATAACTTTGTGCTCCCACCACCCCCAGTGAGTTCAGAGCCAGGCACGCTGGTGGCAAGGGGCAGGCTACTCTGGACAAAGTTGAGGGTGGCGGTACTCACTGGACACAGCTGGAGGGCCGCCCACAAGTGAGGGTGGGCCTAGAAGTGTGAGGGCTCCTCTTCCGATTCTGACACTTCTTTCTGCGTAGGTCAAGAAGCTGGTCCCACGGAAAGTGGTATCTCAGGAATCAGGTGGGTGCCCAGGATTGCCAGGAAGCCTGGGATTGGGGAGCGATCTGTGGGAGGTCCACAGTCCAGGTGCTCACAGACACCCATAGCTTCCCAGTGGCCAGTGCACGCCCTTAGGAGGTACCTCCCCGTGGGTTAAAGGCCTGGCAGGAAGGTCTGGTGGGTCAGTGTTAGGACTGTGTCACTTCGTGTGTGTTACTATGTTCTGTTCCTCTGTCTTGAGCATGTGGCTATCATTCTCATCAATGACTGTGTTTACATTTGTTTCATTTTGTGAGGAAATGTATGGATCGGTATATCTGGGTCTTTGAGACTTTGTGTTAACATATCTATCAAGTGAGTGAGAGAATAGCTCTGTTTATGTGTCAGTATATCTGTGGGATGTGTGTTTATGTTTTAATGTAATGCACACAGTCCAAAAATATATGTAACGTACGTGTTTTAAAACTTAACAACGAACACCCGTGGTTGGTCACCGAAACCCAAGGACTAGAACTGCCAGTGGTTTCTGTACTTCTCTTTTCCTTCTGCTCCTCTCCCCACATCAGAGGTAACCACTAACCACTATCCTGAATTTTGAATAATTCCCCGGAGTTTTTAGGTGTATTCACTTATGTTATGTGCCTAAACGAGGTATCATTTAATATAGTTTTGTTTTGAGTTGTATAAAAATGGTATCATATATGTATGGTTTTCTTGTTTCCAGTCAACATTATGTTTCTAAGATTCACATCCATGTTGTGTGTAGATGTAGTTTATTTTTCTTTTCTTTTAAAATATCTATTTATTTATTTGGCTATGCCAGGTCTTTGTTGAGGCACTCAGGATCTTCGGTTTTCGTTGTAGCTTGCAGGATCTTTTAGTTCCGGCATGCAAACTCTTAGTTGCGGCAGGTGGGATCTAATTCCCTGACCAAGGATTGAACCTTGGCCCCCTGCTTTGGGAGCGCAGAGTCTTAGCCACGGGACCACTAGGGAAGTCCCTGTAGTTCATTTGTTTTTCTGTGTTGTTTACTATTCCTTGAAGGAATTTCCACAATTTACCTGGTCTATTCCTGTTTAGACATTGTCACTGTGTTTTCACTCTTAAAAATGGTGCAGCCATAAACACTAAGATGTGTCTGTCTCCGTGTGCAGCTGTGTTTCTCTACAATATGCAGTGGCGCTGCTAGATAATAGGGTATGTGAATATTCAACTTTTATGAGGTAAAGTCATATAGGTCTCCAAAGGATTTGTACACCTCACTCCACCATTGGTCTATGAGAGCATACTGATCCACACCCTCTTAAACGCTTGCTGTTATCAGATTTCATTATTTTTGTGAATCTGGCACAAAGCAGCGTCTCATTGTGGACTTTTTGCATTTCCCTGGTTAGTGACAGCTGTTGAGCTCTTTATATATTCTGATTATGGGATGTACATGTTATAGATAGTTTTAGTTTATGGCTTTTTTTTAATGAATAGAAGTTGTAAATTAAAGCTTTTTTTTAAGTATAGGTGATTTACAGTATTGTATTTGTTTCACATGTACAACATAGTGATTCAAAATTTTTACCTCTTATACCAATATATTGGCTATATTTTACAATAATAATAAATCCTTGAAGTGAAGTGAAAGTCGCTCAGTTGTGTCTGACTCTTTGCGACACCATGGACTATACAGTCCATGGAATTCTCTAGGCCAGAGTACTGGAGTGGGATCCTTCCAGTATTCCCTTCTCCCAGAAGATTCCCTTCTCCAGGGGATCTTCCCAAACCCAGAAATCGAACCCAGGTCTCCTACAGTGCAGGCGGATTCTTTACCAACTGAGCTATCAGGGAAGCCCAATAAATCCTCACAGCTATTCAATAATAAATTCTTAGAGCTTATTTATCTATATGTCATCTTTAAAAATTAGATTCCTCTCATGAATGATACATGATATTTGTCTTTCTCTGTCTTCACTTAGCATGATAATCTCTAGGTACATCCATGTTGCTGCAAGTAGCATTATTTTGTTCTTTTTTATGGCTGAGTAATATTCCATTGTATATATATACCACATCTTCTTATCCATTCCTCCTCTGTAAACGGACATTTAGGTTGCTAGGAGTAATTTTAATGCAAACATATCAATCTTATCTTTAATGATTAGTAGGTGTTTTTCTTGTCTAAGAAATTCCTTCATGCCTGAAGTTCAGAAAGACAGTCATTTATATTTTCTTTAAAACTTGTAAAGGGTTTCTTTTCATTTTTAATGCTTTTATCTATGAGCATTGATTTTAGTGAGTGATCCAATTATACTTTTTTCCATATAGACTATCACTTGTTCTAGCACTATATATTATTTCTGCATGTGAATTTTATTGTGTTTTTTTGAAAATTAGATATCCCTTTTATGCCTGGACTATAGAAATACAGATTTTTGTATATTGATTTTATAGCCAGCCATGGTACTGATAATTTTAGTAATTTATCTGTAAGTCCTTACTACTTTTCTATGAAGACAGTCATTTCATCTGTGAGTAATGACAGTTTGGCTCTACCTTTTCACTCCTTACAACCTTGTAAATTTCATTTTCTTATTATACTTTAGTGGCTAGGATTGTAGTACAATATTGAATAGAAATAGTAATGCTGAACATCATTACTGTGTTCCTGATTTTAAATGAAATGCTTCAAACTTTTTCCCTTTCACAATGATATCTGATGCTTAGATCTTTTGTACGTGTGTTTTTGTCTGATTAAGGAAGATCCTTTCTATTTCTTTTACTTGGAATTTTTATCAAAAGTGGGTACCAAATTTTCTCATTGTTTATGTGAATCTTCTGAAATGATTAAATGGGTTTTCTTCTTTAATCTGTCAGTGTAAAGATGTTTGTAGGATTTTCTAATACTGAGTCACCCTTATATTCTAGGGATGAATTCATATTGGTCATGGTTTATTATTTTTTTATATGCTATTGGGATACTGTCTCAGTTTTTTTTTCCCCTTCAGATTTTTGCATTTATTTTTCCTGTCTTCATCTGATAATCAGTAATATACTGGCCCCTGAGTGAGTTAAGGAATATACTTTTTAAAACAGATTATTTATATTTGGCTGCACTGGGTCTTCATTGCAGCACATGAGCCCTTTGTTGCTGTGTGTGGGTTTTCTCTAGTGGCGAGCAAGGGTTACTCTCTCGATGTGGTGTATGGGCTTCTCATTGCAGTGGCTTCTCTTGTTGCAGAGCGCAGGCTCAGTAGTTGGGGCACACGGGCCTAGTTGTCCCACGGCATGTGGGATCTTCCCAGGCCAGGACTTGAACCCCTGTCCCCTGCATTAGCAGGCAGATTCTTAACCACTGGACCACAAAGGAAATCCCACGGAATATACTTTTTGAGTTTTTTAAATATCTTTTAGATCTTACATAAGATGGGAATCATCTTTCTTTGAAAGCTGATAAAATTTGCTTGTAGATTCATCTGGTCCTGTTTTATTCTGTTATGGGAAGATTTTAAACTACTTCAGTTTCTTTATAGTTATAAGCAAGTCTGGCTTCTGGCTAAAATTCTTTTTTTCTTTTTCTTTTTTCTTCCCTTCCCCAGCTTCTGGCTTAAAGGAACAGAAATAGCTCACATTTTCAGAAGCTGGAAATCCACAGTCAGGATGTTGACATGGTCATGTTCTCTGTGAAGGATCTGGGGGAAGAATCTTCCCTTGCTGCTTCTTAGCTTCTGGCAGTCTTTGGCTTGTAGGCGCATCGCTCCGTTCTCTGTCTCTGTCTTCATGACGTCTTCTGCCCTCTGTGTCTCTGTCCAAACTTCCCTCTTCTAATAAGGATACCAGCCACTGGGTTAGGGTCCACCCTAACCTAGTATGACCTCCTCGTAACTTTATTACATCTAGCAAAGAGGACTTTGCTTTGGAATTCAGAGGGAGAAGAAACCTCACACCTTAGGAGACTTACACAAGTAGCCTTCTGTCTCCTGCTTCCTGGGTAACCATGGCTGACCAAAAATCTCATGAAAATCCTTGAATCAGTTCTAGTGAGTTATGTGTTCAGATTACCCATTTAATCAATGTTTTCTAATCATTTGTATAATGTTGTTTATAATATTCTCTTATAATCTTTTTAATCTCATCTGTATCTGTAGTTACAGTCTTTTCTTCATTTCTAATAATGTTTATTTTTTCCTCTTTTCTTATTCAATCTCTTATTACTATATTCTTATTAAGTCTCCTGTTAACAATATTCAAATACTTAAAAAAAAATTCTAACCATTTTTAAGTGTACAATATGTTAACTATATGCACATTGTTTTGCAAAAGAGCTCTAGAAATCACCTTTGTTTTTTAACTCTAGTTTGTGATTATTTTCCTTGGTGGTAAATTTGATGAGTTTAGACTATATTAATCATAATTATTTTATAATATTTTTCAATGATTCTTTTCTTTTTCTTCATATTTCACTTTTTTCATTTTCTTGGAAATTGCACACTTTATATTTTTCATTTTAGTGATTGCTCTTGAAATTTACCAGGTATATTTAACTTTACAAGTCTGAATTCAAAGTCTTAAACTTTCTCCTGAGCAAAACCTCCAACTATTGTTTTTAATTATTTCTCCTTTCAGTTCTGTAAGTGTTTTGTTTTATGTATATTTGAGGCTCTGTTTTTAGGCACATATACATTTGTAATTATTATCTCTTCTTGGTGTATTCACCTGCTTATCATTATAACAGCTCCCTCTTTGTCTTCAGTAATTTTTCTTGTCTTAAAGTTTGTCCTGTCTGATATTAATATTTTGGTACTATTATGGTTACTATTCATGTGATATGTCTTCCTCCAACCTTTTATTGTCAACCTATTTGTGTCTTTGAATCTGTTGTCCACAGTATATAGTTGGATCTTGTTTTTTTAATTCAGTCTGACATTCTCTGCCTTTAAGTTGGGGTGTTTAGGTCAGGAGTTAGCAAATTATGGTTTATGGGCCAAATCTAGCCTGTCATCTTTTTGGGGGGACAGGGGTGAACAGCTTTACCAAGATATATTCATGAACAATTCACTCCTTTAAGTAAACAATTCAGTGGTGATTAGTATAGTTATAGTTGTGGAACATCACACAATCAATTTTAGAACATTTTCATCACCCACTGTACTTTAAAAGAAGTTATTTATACATTTGACTGTGTTGGGTCTTAGTTCTGGGATGTAGGATCTTTGATCTTTGTTATAGCATGTGGATCTTTAGTTGCACCTACAACTCTTAATTGCAGCATGTAGGATCTCATTCCATGACCAGGGATCAAACCCAGGCTCCTTGCATTGGGTGTGCGGAGTTTTAATGCTTGGACTATGAGGGAGGTTCCACCCGCTATACTGTTTATCCATTATCCCACCAGTTTCCCCATTCTCCTCTCCCCATCCCAATCAACCACTAATCTACTTTGTCTTGATGGATCTGCCTACATTTCATATACATGATATGTATCATATATACATGATATATATGATACATACACATGATAATATACATATATTATATGATATATGGTCTTTCTAATGGGCTTCTTTCACCTAGAATAATATTTTCAAGTTTCATCCATTTTGTAGTATGTGTTGTACTTCATTCCTTTTTATTGCCCAATAATATTCTTTTTAAAAAATATTTATTTTTATTTATTTTTTGGCTGCCCAAGGTCTTAGTCGTGGCACACAGGATATTTTAGTTGCAGCATATGGGATCTAGTTCCCTGACCAGGAATCAAACCTGGGCCCCCTGCACTGACAGGTAGATTCTTATCCACTGTGCCACCAGGGAAGGCGTGGCTATGAACTTTTGTGTACAATATTTTATGTGGATATGCTTCCATTTCTCTTGGGTATATACCAATGAAAGACATCCTTCAAAGATCCCTTGGAGAAGGGAATGGCAACCTGCTCCAGTATTCTTGCCTGGAGAATTCCATGGACAGAGGAGCCGGGTGGGCTACAGTCCATGGAGTCACAAAGAGCTGGACACAACTGAGCAACTCTCACACACACACACACACACACACACACACACACATGATCTATCTTTAACTTTGAGAACTGGCAGGCTGTTTTCCAAAGTGACTGCACCATTTTATATTCCTGCTGATAGTGTATGAGTGCTCCAGTTTTTCCGCATTCATCCCAATACTTATCTGTCTTTTGACTGTAACCATCCTAGTGGGTGTGAAATGCTCTCATTGTGGTCTTGCTTTGCATTTCTCTGAAAGCTAATGATGTTGAGTGTCTTTTCCTGTTTATTGGCTACATGTATACCTTCTTTTGAAGAAATGGTCCTTTGCCCAATTTTTAGTTGGGTTGGCTTTTTACTATTGAGTTGTAGGAGCTCTTTGTATTTTCTAGATAAAAGTCTCATCATATATGATTTGCAAGTATTTCCCCCCATTCTTTGGGTTGACGTTTCACTTTCTTGATGGTGTTCTTTGATACACAAAAGTTTAAAATGTTCATGAAGTCACACCTACCCATTTTTCCTTTGGTTGCTGTGCTTTGGGTGTCATAGCAGTGAAACCAATGCCAAATCCAAAGTTGCACACCATATTGATTAAGTTCTCTTCATCCATGGCAGTGAAGCTGCTGACCCTTCTCTGTCCTACCCTGTAGAACGGCCACATGGACCAAGGCAGCAGGAACTGGGGGAAGGAAGGGAGCAGGCAAGACACCATCAGGCACAAATGCTTCTCAGATTATTTTACACCTTTGGTCAGTATCCAAGCGCTGAAATGGTGGTTTGTCACTTTTAATCCAGCTTTATAGTTGCTGTGTGGGGAGAGGGTTTATCTACCACCTACCTCACTCAGCCATAGTCAAACCCCGCTTCTGTTACCTGTTCCTTTTAACACTGTTGTCAAATTTTCACTCCTTGTCTCATTCTACTTCTGGTTTACTAATTCTAGCTTTTATCTAGGTTTGATCTGCTGTTTAACCTATACACTTCATTTCACAAATGCTATTTTTCATTGCTAGTAGTTCAGAATTCTTTTTTTCTCTCCCCGAAAAACCTGCTTGTTTATGGCTAATGGTCCTTTTTTTGCATGCTCGTCCTTTATTTCTTCAGATATATTATGCATAGCTGTGCTGTGTTCCCTTCCTGACACTTCCAGCATCTGCTGTGTGTTGAGTCTGCTGCCTCCTGCTCTCAGTGGCCTGCCCTCTTGCGTGTTTTAGGATCTTTGTTTATGATCCCTATCTGTGGGAGTCTGGCATGCCTCCGTAGGGGAAGAACTTCCAGAGAAGACTTGCTTTTACCCCTGCCAGTAGCCAGAGGGCGCCAACCACCAGCGACCACTGCAGTCCTCCGGAAGAAAGTGGTGCTAGGTTCTCGCTGCTCTGTGGCTGCCGCGGTGGGCCTGTGATGAGCCGAGGGAGCAATACCTGGGGTACCTGCTCCTCCTCACAGCTCCCAGGCTCTGTAGCCACAAAGTAGGGCTGCCCTCTCACTTCCTTTCTGGCCCCAGTTCCTCCCTTTTTTGTGGATTTCTCCTACTTCTTGTATGTCCTGCTGCTGTTGCTGCTAAGTCGCTTCAGTCGTGTCTGACTCTGTGCGACCCCACAGTCAGCAGCCCACCAGGCTCCCCCGTCCCTGAGATTCTCCAGGCAGGAACACTGGAGTGGGTTGCCACTGCCTTCTCTGCTTGTATGTCCAGTGATGCCTTGAAATTGTATCGAAAAGCAGGATATAATTGCTCTCTAGTGGGAGGGTCCCACAGAACACCTAACCAGCCACACTACAAGAAGCTGGAGTCAGGATTTACATTTCCCGAGCATTTGACTGTATGCCAGCCACTAAGTACCTCACATGGGTCAAGTCACTCAGACCTCACAGCAACCCTGCAGGATGGGTATTCTTGTTGTCCATGTTTTATGGGTGAGGACATGGGGCACAGAAAGGTTAAGTTACCGGCCAGGTTCCCATCCATCTGGCAAGTAATCGAGCAGGAATTCCAAGCCCACTGTCTGGCTGTAGGAGCCATGCCCTCGCCCACCGCGACCCATAATTGGGGGATTCTGTTTGTATCTGGGTGTGAGACCCTGTGTGTGAGTCAGCTTCAGCATGCGTGCACATGCCCAGGTGGCTGTTTCTGTAGCTGTGGAGATGAATGTCACTTGTACGACTGCCTTCAGGTGCTCACTGACATCACCTTCATTGATCACCCCATTTAAAATTATACACCCACCCTACTTATTCTTCCTCAGTACGACTAATAAATCTCTGTGTGTGTGTGCTAAGTTGCTTCAGTTGTGTCCAACTCTTTGCGACCTTATGGGCTACAGCCCACCAGGCTCCTCTGTCCATGGGCTTCTCCAGGCAAGGATACTGGAGCCCTCCTCCAGGGGATCTTTCAGACCCAGGGATCAAACCTGCATTTCTTTCATCTGCATTGGCAGGTGGGTTCTTTACCATTAATACCACCTGGGAAGCCCAATAAATATCTAATGCACTACATAGTTTACTTTCTAAAAAATATTGATTTGTTTGGCTGTATCCAGTCTTAGTTGCGGCATGTGAGATCTTCCGCTGCAGCACACGGGCTCCAGAGTGCAGGCTCAGTAGTGGTGCTGTGGGATCTTAGTTCCTCGACCAGGGATCGAACCTGTGTCCCCTGCCTTGCAAGGTGGATTCTTAAGCACTGGACCACCAGGGAAGTTCCCATAGTCTACTGCTTTTGTTTGTGTTGGCTTTTCCAGTAGAACACGGGCCCTCTCTGGCTGCCGTGGGGCAAGCACACCGTAGGCAGGGTGGGTGCAGCCCGTGCCCAGGTTGGAGACTGCTGCAGTAGTTCCCGTGAAGATGGTGTGACTTGATCTAGAGAGCTTAGTCGTGGAGGTGAGGATGTGTGGCTGGATTCAGGATGTGTTTAGGACAGACAGGACTTACTGATGGCTTGTGTGTGTGGCATAAAGGAATAAAGGCGTCAGGAAGGACGCCTCACTTTGTCATCTGAGTGAGTGCGCAAGTGGGTGAGATGGGGAACACTGGGAAAGGGGCAGATTCTGAAGACAAGGAGGTTGAGAAGCCAGAGGTTAGCTCTGCTAAGTGTGTGACGCTAAGTGGAAATACTGCGAGGGCCATCGGGTATGAGTCTGGAGTCCAGGGAAGAGGAAGGAGCTAGAGATGAAAATCTGGCAGTTGTTGGCTCATTGATGATAATTAGACTCATAAGACTGGATGAGGTCTCTTAGGGAGTAGACACGATAGAGAAGACAGAGGAGGGAGTATGGACTGGACGCGGGGTGGTTGTTGCCGTGGTCCAGGAAGCCGAAGAGTCTGAACCAGCACTAAGCCGAGTACAAGTCGTAGAAAAGCATGGATTAAAAATTGGTGGGATTTGGAGCCATCTCCCCACAAAGCCTTCCCTGACAACTCTTTGGGGTGCTCCTGTGGTCAGTGTCCCCAGAGCTCCCAGGAGCCGGTCAAATATGATTAATCTCCTGTCACTAGTACCCTGGGCACAGAACAGGACAGGGTCAGTGACTCTTAGATGAAAGGAATGAGTGAGTGAACAAATGTCCCTCTCCTCCTAGCTTCTGTTAAGGAACCCAAAAAGATGATGCCCAAAACAGTCCTCCCTACAGTCAAGAAGCTGATGACAGCTCCCAGTGAGCCCAGCAAAACCAAGTAAGGAGCAGGGTAGGGGGAAGGAGGGTACAAGAGATGCTGCTCCCTGCCCCCACCCCCGGGTCTGATGGGGACATGTTTCAGGCCATCTTGGACACCCAGCGGAGACAGTCAGAAGCGCCCCTCCCGAAACTCCAGTAAGTCTCATTGCCTCCCTGCAGTGGGGTGAGGCCTGGGGTGGTTGTGCTAAGGGGACAGAGATGGGGAGAGGCTTGGAGTCCAAGAAGGCCTGGATTCTTGAGGGTCTGCTCTCACAGGCTCCAACAGCAGTTTCCAGCCTGGCAGAAAGCGATCCAAGACACAGGCTTCCCAGCAACGCCCTGCAGCCAGTCAGGTGAGAGGCTCGAGGCCTGGGAGAGCAGAGGTCCTAGACGGAGTCTGGTTCCCAGGGGTGTGGCGTGCGAGGGTGAAGGATCCAAGGCTGAGGGGAACCAGACTCAGACCATCAAGGTACCCATCCCTTGGCTGAGTCCGCATCCCCATCACTACAGGATGAAAAGCAGAGGCGCCTTACAAAGGGCCCTCGTGTGAATACAACCCCAATTCTGAACAAGACCACCAGCCCAGAGAAGACACCAACTCTGGATAGGGCCCCCAGACCAGAGAAGACCCCACCTCCAGATAAGACCCCCAGTCCAGAGAAGACTCTGTCTCCAGATAAGTCCCCTAACTCAGAGAAGACCCCACCTCCAGTTAAGACCCCCAGTCCAGAGAAGACTCTGTCTCCAGATAAGTCCCCTAACCCAGAAAAGACTCCACCTTCAGAAAAGAACCCCACTCCAGAGGAAACCCTAATTCCAGAGAAGGTCCCTACCCTCGAGGAGACCCCAACCCTGGAGGACAACACCCCTAGTCCAGACAGGGCCCTTTCTGGGCATGAGGCCCAGGTCCCAGAAGTCCTACTTGAAGATGAGGCCTTTGGTCCAAAGATGGCCCCTCCGGGGGATGAGGCCCCCACCCTAGGAAAGGTCTTGACCCCGGAGCCTGTGCTCTCTGAAGAGGCCTCCGCTGGAGACAACAGTCAGTTCCATCACTTCTCTCCGGAGGAAGACCCCCCGCCAAACGCCAGGTCTCTTGAGGCCAGTGAGGCTCAATCTCAAGAGGAGGTGCACACACCAGAGGAGCCCTCCCTCGGCTTGGTGAAACAGCCCCTGGAGAGGAGGGCCAGCTCCCCTCTCCAGTCCAAGTCCAACGCCAAGTCAGGGTCCGCGCCTGCCCTTGAGAAGGCCTCCCCTCAGGAAGAGCTGACGATCCTCCCGGAGGAGGCACCACCGAAGGCTGAGACTACCCTCAAAGAGCAGGAGTCTCCCAAAGAAGGGGTGCCCTCCAAAGAGGTAACCCCTGCCCAGCAGAATGCGGAGCCCCAAACGCCCCCTACCCTGCACTCCTCGGTCCCGCCAAATCTCACAGACCGCAGAAGCGACGGAGACGACATGTTGAGGATAAAGGACCAGGTGGAGGCTTTGAGGAGGTCGCTGGAGCAGATGGGGGTGCAGCTGGAGTAAGTGGGGGAGAGGAGCGGGGAGGCGAGGGTGCGGGCTCTAGGCTTGCCCTGCCCACCCCTTCCCCTGGGTCTCCCGCATCCGCAGAAAGAAACTGATGGACATCTCGGAGGAGCTGAAGAGCGAGCGGGAGAAGCGCCTACTGCTGGAGGTGGGTGGGGTGCGGGTCTCAGGCCGGGCGGGGGCGGGCGGCGGGCCCTCCCCTGACGCCCTGTCCCCACCAGGTTCAGATGAAGCAGAGGACCCGGGACTTCATCCACGCGCAGACTCAGACGCACTGAGGGTGGGCCCGGGAGGGACTGTGGCGGGACCTGGAGCGAAGTCAGGCTCCGGCCACCCACGTCCTTGCACACGTCTTCGGAAAACGCCGGAAAGTAAACTGCCGAGTACGCGCGCCACGCCTCCCTGGTCCGTGCGGGGCGGGGCTTGCGCGGTGGGGCGGGGCTGGCGCTCGCGTTCTCCGCCGGCCGCATTCCTGGCAGTCGCTAGCGGGCACATCTGGCCAACATGTGGCTCCCATTACCGTTCCCAAGGCCTGCGCACGGCTATTTTTATCCACCGGATGGCGGGGGATGGGGAGGGTGTCTCCTTCGGACGCCAGCCCCCCCCCGCCCCCACGCTGGAGAAATGGCAGGCTGGAGGGGCCCTGGAGGGTTTGGGGATCTGCCCGCGGGCCGGATTCCGGAATCCAGCTGTGCGCCAGGGGAGGGGCCGGGCCGGCCTGCTCTCCAGCCCAGACCCCTCCCAGCTGGTCTCGCTGCCCTTTCAGAGGGACTCATAGGAATTCAGTGACGGACACGAACTCCACGGCCCAGCTCAGGCACACTTGGTTACACGGGGTAATAGCACCTTAGCGTCAAGGTCAGGGTCCCGAGGCCTTGTGTGCATGTGTGTGTGTGTGATTGAAATGATGCATAAGCCCAGGGCATTTGTAGAGACAGGGGCGACCTGTACCCAGTCGTTTCCCGGTAAGGAATGCACCTTAAGGAATGCGGCTGATAGGTGTGCGTGCGTCTGTGGGTGCAGCAGGCGTGTGTTTTTGCCATGTGTGAACTGAATGGAAGCCTGTGTGCCGAGGTGTGAGTTGCATGGAAGGAGGTGGGCAGCCTGGTAGAGGGGTCTCAATCCTGGGTTCCCCTACATGGCAAGAGCCTAGGGGTTATTAGAAGCAAAGGTAACAGATTGAGTCACTGAAAATGCAGCTTTCATTGGTCACGTCACCTCTTAACTGTCCCCCGGAGAGGGGAAGGGGACCCTGCGTCCTACCCTACCCCCAGGGCCTTCTGGCTGGACTAGGGAAGGGTGTCTCCCAGAGGGCCAGAATCCAGGCCTGATAGCACCAGGGGAGCCGTGGGGGCGGGGCCTCCATAGCACCGTGGGCAGGGGCAGTCCAAAGGTCCTGGGGCAGCTCCGAGCCCCTACGCATGTCCTGGACGCTGAGCACTTCGCAGCGCGAGTGGGGCCGGTCAGTAGTAGTGCATACGGCCCAGGGTGCCCGTGCCCGTGGGGCTGGGCCCCAGGGTGCCGGTGCCCAGCAGGTCCGGCTGGCCGGTGCGCCAGATCTCTCGCAGAATCCGTTCCCGTTCCTCCAGCCGCTGGGCCCGCTCCAGCTCCTCCGCAGAGGTGAAGACGTTGACGCTCAGGGGCCCGTCTGGCTCCGCGGACAGCTCGGGGCCCGGCAGCGTATCGTCGGGGCCCAGCCGCGTCACTGTGTCCTCCTCGTCGTCGTCTTCCTCATCATCCTCGGCTTCCAGGGTGCTGCTGCGGGGGTCCCGGCGCGGGGCGGGGCCCCGGGGCCGCGGGCGGGGTGCACAGGAGATGCTGATGACTAGCAGGCACAGGGTGAGGAGCAGCCCAAAGCAGACGCCCAGCACAAAGTAGAGGCCGAAGCTCTCGGGGTTAGCTGGGGGTCAGAGGGCAAAGTCATGGAGGGGCCCTGATGCGTGGGTGTCACCCCATCTCGAAAAGACTCCAGGTTCTAAGTTGGGGGGCAAAGACAGCACCCCCTATTTGAAGGACCTTAGTAGCCTCCATTGGGCAGTCGGGGGAGTGAGGATGGGGGTGGGTGGGAGTAGGTGACAGGTTAAGCAGGGGAGGGGGGTTATAATCAGGGGCAGAGGAGGGGAAGGAAGGGGTGGAGGGGGGCCTGATGGGGCGGGGAGGGTCCGTGTCCCGGGGTCTGCCCTCACCGCGGATGTGCGCGTAGGCCGCCAGGCTGTTGCTGAGCAACTCCATGTCCCTTCGCGGGGCATCCATGTTTCTCTGGGGGCGCAGCTCCCCTGTCAGCCTGCGAGGTCAGCAAGGTCAGAACCTTCGCCCTCTCTAGAGCCGACCCTGCCGACTCGCTTCTTCCTCGGGGCAGCTCCGCTCCCTGGAAGGGCAGTCCCAGCCAGGTTCCACCCTGGAGAGAGCGGATTCCTAATTTCCTTGCACACTTGGGCCCTGGCTGGGGGTGTCCTTCCCCCGGGCGCGGACGCCCCAAGAACCTGAGGGACCGGGGAGTGAGCCGCAGGAGGCTCCGCCCCCTGGTGGGGTCCCCCAAAGAAGCCCGCTTTCGCCGTCCGGGAAGCGCGATGGAGGAGGGAGACGCGGGCGCCTTCCCACTCCCTGGGCGGGCTCCGCGAAGGGAAGCCGCCTCCCTCTCCCATCCCGCCCGCCCCGTGGGGATCCCCCAGCCCGGAGGCCCGGGCTCACTCACCGCCAGCGCCCCGCTCCCCTGCTGCCCGGCCCCGGCGCGTCCGGCGGCCGCAGACACCCGGGGCCCGGCCGCTCCCGCCCCGTCCGGTCCCGGTCGCCCGCCCGCCTGTCCGCCCGGCTCGGCTACCAGGCCGCAGCAGCGCGGGCCGGACTCAGGCTGATGGATCGGCCGGCGGAAAGTTTCCTCCGAGGAAAGAGGAGGGACGGGGCGGGGCGGGGCAGGGGAGGCGGGGAGGAAAAGGGCCGGGAGAGGAAGGGGAGAGGAGGGTGAAGTGTGGGGGGGGAGCCTGAGGGGCCGTCTGCTCCCCCACAGGAAACCGCTGGGGAGGCGGGTTGCAGGGACCAGCCCCGAGGCTGCTAATAACAATAATAATGAGGATGGGGTTCTGCTGAGGTGTCAGGCAATGGGCTAAATCCTTTACAATATTTTTTTTCCCATTTAATCCTAACCCTATAACGTGGGGACCATCCCCGGTTGAGGGATAAGTCAGCTGAGTCATGGAGAGACCTAATAGCTTTACCCCAGTGGTCAGGATTTGAACCCACAGTTCTTTGACCCTGGGCTCTTAACCCATCCCCTAAACCTTGCTCGTCCTCCCTGGAGGCCCCCTCACCCAGGGGAGACTGCCCCTTTCCCCAGTTAAGATGCCAGACCTCTCTCAGACGCTCTGCCACAATGTCCAGGGCGGGGGCTCTCCACCCCTCCTCCCAGAGCCCCCTCCACGAGTGTGTCCAGCTGGCCCAGCTCCGGTCGTGCAGGGTTAATGAATGTTGGACTCTGGCTTCAAGCCAGACCCAGGCCAGCCTTGCAGAGCCCAGCCTGGGGCTTCTGCTGGCCCCTATGCCCTTCTGCCACCGGAGCACAGGGCAGAGGTGTGTTTGGCTCTGGGCTAAACCTGCTGGTGCATGTGCGTGCATTTCCACCCAGGCTCAGGGCTTGTGCCTGCAACATGTGTGTGATCAGCATGCGGCCAGGTCTTCTTCCTGCCCAGACTCCCAGGCCCCCCCCTTTCGGGCCCCCCTTCCTGTGCTGGGCCTGGGGTGAGGGGGAGGCCTTCTTGGCAGGAGCCTTAGAGAGGAGGAGGGAAGGAAGGGGGGAGAGGAAATTGCAGACATAGCTGAAGGCACAGCCTGAGGCCTTGGGGCCAGTGACCCCCCTTTCTGTCCAGGCTGGAGACCCCCCGCTCCCAGTCCTGAGTCTGGGTTCAAGCAGAGGGCAGATCTGGTTGGGAAAAGAACTAGGATGACTACCATGGGGAGGGGAAGGGGGCTCTTGGTGTCTCTGTGACTGTTTAGTCTGTTCTGTGAGTGTGTGTGGAGGTGTGTCTGCCCATGTTTGTATATTTGTGTCTATTTCTGTGTTCTATCTGCCTGAGCACTTTGGTGAGGTTGAGTATGTCTGTGTATCAGTCCATTCAGCCGCTGGTCAGCAAACGCTAATTGGTCTGCTTAGCACTTCCTAGTAATGGAGTTCAGCAGTAAACAGCACAGATGCAAATCTTGGCTCTCTAGGAGCTGACACTAAGGTGGAGAGACAAACAATACATGGGGAAGATGATCCTGGGTGCTGCTGAGTGCTTAGAGGGTGATGGAGTGGGGCAGTGTGATGAAGAACATCAGCTCTCGCACATGCCGTAGGGAAGAGACTTGAATCCTGAAGAAGGGGCACCTAAGCTGAGATCTGCAGGAGGGTGTCGGGCAAGAAAAAGGCTGAGGGCCCCTGAGGTAGGAGTGTCTGGCTTCACCTGGCTCCCAGGGGGGACAGGGGAGGGTGATGGGGTGATTGTGAAGGGGCTGGCAGGCCTGCAGAGGCGCTTGGATGTTATTCCAAGTTGTGATGGGGCCCCTAGGTTCCATCAGAGAGTGTCATGGTTCCGTGATGCACTTTGGAGAGGTCCCGGGGGTGAGTGGGGCTGGGGGAGGGGGAGCTCCGGGTAGGAAAGGGGCTGCAGGACAAGAACGGAAAGAGGGGGAGCCGCGTGCTGGCTGGCAGCCATCCAGGCCAGCAGTGGCTGAGGGCTTGGACCAGGGGCGCTGGTGGAGGTGAGCCAGGCTCTGACGCTGATGGGGGTGGCAGCAGGCTCTCTGCACTTCACGAGGACATGAGGGAAGCAGGAATGGAGGACCGCTGCTTGGGTTGGGCCCGAGCACCTCAGGAAAGCTCAGGCGGGGAGCACGATGTAGGGAATTCAAGTTCCATTTCAGGTGGTTGATTTGAGAGGTCCATAAGAATCTAGGTGGAGCCATCAGACACACAGGCGCGGCCCAGAAGAGTCTGGTCGGCCTGGGTGTGTGTTTGAGAGTCCTCAATGCACAGGATGGATTGAACACCGCGGGAGTGGCTGAGGTCGCTCAAGGGACAGGAGAGGAAAGAGCTCTGGATGCTGCATTTCGGGTCTCCTGCAGGAGATGGCAGTCCATGAGGGGGGAGGAAGACCTGACCAGGCGAGGGTGTGATCAGCCGTGTTAAATTGGGCTGCGAGGGTAAGGTGAGGCTGGAACCCAACCCCTGGCTGTGGGTTTCCTTGGGTTGCACTGACATGTTCAGTGCCTGCCGTCCGTGGGAGTGTCGGTGTGCGGCGGGTGTGTGGGTATGGCCAAACCTGAGTGTGTGTCGGTTTGTATGGCACACACCTGTGCTCCATGTGGGTCTGTGTGTATGCCTGTCTGAGTGGGGGCTGTGAGATGTTGGATGTTTGTATTAAGCTGTTGACTTGCATCTGTGCTATGCAGATCTCTGGGTATCGCTACGTACAGACGAAGGTGTGTCTGTGTTTGGGTTGGCGTGTGACTTGTGTGCGTGGGTCAGGTGTGGCTCAGCCCTGGGGAAGCAGGTGGCCATGTTAGAGCAGAGAAGGAGTTGAGATGGTGGCTGGTCCCTCAGTGAGAGGTACCCAGAGGGCTGCTTTTTCCAGGGGGTCGGGGGGAGGCACGTGGCCAAGCCAGGCCAGAGGTAGGAGAAGTGGCGGGCTTGCCCAGAGGGTTCAGAGAAGCTGGGAGCTGCTCCTCAAGGCCCTGGGAGAGGTGCCTGAAGCCTTTGGCCCATGTGGTCCCCTGATACCATCCCCCTGCCCTCCTGGCCACCTGCCTATCTGCTTTTCCGCCTGCCTCTGCCCACCTGCCAGCCTGTCTGTAGGTCTGCCCAGGCACCTGCTTCCTGGTCATGCTGGCTAGGATCTCTGTGTATCTGTCACCTGCCTGCCTGGCTTGCATCCCACTTCTCCACCTGCTGATTTTCTCCCTGTCTGTCAGCCTATGGCTGACCTGCTGCCTGCCCACCTGCCTGTTTGATAGCTGCCTTTCTGTCCTGTCTGCCTGTGAGACTAAACATTTGTCACCTTGGGAGGCACAGAGTGTTCCTAAGATGACGCACAGGAAAGACAGGTATTAAGGGCTGGTCATTACTTTGCCAATAAAGGTCCGTCTATTCAGAGCTATAGTTTTTCCAGTGGTCATGTCTGGATGTGAGAGTTGGACCATAAAGAAAGCTGAGGGCTAAGGAACTGATGCCTTTGAAGTGTGCTGTTGGAGAAGACTCTTGAGAGTCTCTTGGACAGCAAGGAGATCCAACCAGTCCATCCTGAAGGAAATCAGTCCTGAATATTCATTGGAAATACTGATGCTGAAGCTCCAATACTTTGGCCACCTGATGTGAAGAACTGACTCATTTGAAAAGACCCTGATGCTGGGAAAGATTGAGGGCAAGAGGAAAAGGTGATGAGAGAGATTGAGGTGGACTCGATGGACATGAGCTTGAGCAAGCTCCAGGAGTTGGTGATGGACAGGGAGGCCTGGTGTGCTGCAGTCCATGGAGTCACAAAGAGTCGGACACGACTGAGCAACTGGACTGAACTGAAGGGGTGATCAGAAGGCTGAGAGATTCAGAGCCTCTGGGAGGGCCCTTGGGAAGCCTGGCATGTTCAGGGCCCAAGGCAAAACCTGACTCTGCCTCCTTCTCCAGTGGCCCAGGTTGGGGCCAGGCCTGGCTGCTCTGCTCCTGACATCAGGGCCTCACCCCACCGGGGCTTCAAGGGCTGGCCTAGCTCTTGGGTGGAGGGAAGAAGGGGACTCACTTAAGGCCTCCTAAGACCTGTCTAGCCCTCTGAATGGCCCCTCAGCACCCGGGACAGCTGCTGGGAAGAGGAACTGTGCAAGTCTGGGATGTGAGTCATCACGGGTAGGGATGTTGAGTATCCTTTAGGTATCTGGCGCCCTGCTAAGCATTGTGCTCGTCTCAACCCTTCAGATCCTCTCACCAACCCTGTGTGACTTGTAATGTGACCTCCATTCTTTAAATTCATCTTTATCGGGGTATAGTTATTTTACAATGTTGTATTAGTTTCTTGCTGTGAAACTAACAGCAAAGTGAATCAGTCATAAGTATACATTTGTGACTCCCATTTTACAGAGAAGGAAAGTGAGGCTTGGAGGGGTCAAGTGGCCTGTGTACAGTCACAGGAATGGAAATTAACGGGGCCTGGATTTGAACTTCAGATCCATGTTCCCTACCAGTCTTCCACATGGCAGTTCTAGGCCATGGTTCTCTGCATCTGTCAGACCCAAAGCTGCCTTTTCATGACATTTTCTTTTTTATTGTTTTGGCTGCATCAGGCCTTAGTTGTAGCATGCGGAATCCATTGTTGTGGTGCAGGGGGCATCTCTCTAGTCACAGCACGTGGGCTCCAGGGCAGATGGGCCCCACGGCACGCAGTGTGTGGGCTCTGGAGTGTGTGGGCTCAGCTGCACCAGAGCATGGGAGATCTTAGCTCCCCAACCAGGAATTGAACCAGCATCCCCTGCGTTGGAAGGTGGATTCTAAACAACTGGATCACCGGGGAAGTCCCCATATTTTCTATTGCTTCTTTTGTGTTCTGGAAATGAAATTTATGGCTAATATACCCACCTCTAATTAAAATCAATATATAATTAAATCAAAATTAATATATAATTAAATCACATTATATGATTAAATTAATATAGATAAGATAGTTTACATATGTACATATATTCTTGTCCTGTAATATATATAAAAGAAATAAAGGGTAATTTTGTATATTTGTGAACTGGTTAATTCCCAGGAAGGTGACAGCTAAAGGTGCAGATCTGAGATAGTGTCAATGTCTGAAATGGTGGTAAACTCTTGGTTAACTTCTGAACAAAAAGTACACATTTCTTCCACTTTACACAGTAGTTGCCTTCCCAGAAAATTTAGTGTATATTATGGATACACAAGTCTTCTGTGTTTATGTATAAAATGGTGTTAGATTCTTGGCTCCGGTAATTATAAACACATTTCTTCACTCGTTTTGAGCAGGATGTAGAATCTGCCTGCTTTCTGGGGTTGTCTGGAGTCCCTGGCCCGAGCCCCCTAAATGCCAGCAGCCTCTCACCGCCCTCCACCCTCTACCCCCATCATTGTGATAGCCAGCCCCCAATTCCCCACCCCAACATGGACACATGGAAAAGCCTCCCGCCCCTCATGGAGCTCAGCATTTGAGTCGGGGAGACAGATATCGTCACTAACCACACGTCTCTTGTAATAACAGACTGTGATGAGCACAATGATGGGAAATAAAGCCGGGGAAGAGGTGAGGGAAGACCCAGCGGACACGGCCAGGCACAGCTCCCGGCTGGCTTCTCTCTGAAGCTATCTCCTCGAGGACACTGGGGATCAGGCAGTCACTAACACAGGTGGGAAATCTTGGTTCTTGTTTTGACCCTTCAGAAGCATAGGAGGCTGTTGATCATACCCGCCTTTCTGGTACTTCCCCCTTGCTTTCCTTTCAGGGCTCACACAAAAAATACTGGTAAAGGGGGATCTGGGAAGTTTAAGTCAACGAAGCAACAGTTCTGGTGTTAGAGCTGCGGCCAGTAGTAGGTGCCGAGGACTCAATGAGCCCAAGAGTCCGGCTGCACACAACTTGCTGCTTGGGCGGTGCTGAATGTTAGCCTGACACTCGGGTGCCCAGGTGATACCTGTGCTCAGGACAGAGGCTGATCGGGTCAGGGGTGCAGGAGGGAGGCTGAGATGGAGATGAGGCCCTGGGGGTCAGGCTTGTGGACCTGAGTGTGGCCGGGGTGGGCAGAGAGTGCCGGCAGCTTCTGACCTGGGACAGCGTGACAGATCAGGAAAAGGGAACATCTGTGTAGGCTCGGGAGTGGCCAGGAAGATGGGGGCCGCTTGGCTGCTGGGGTAACTGTGGGAGGAGGGAAAGGTGGAGGCCTGGGGGCCCGCTCTGAAGAATCTTCAGAGAACCAGGGCCTTCCCAGAGAACCCTGGAGGGGTGCCGCCCCCACTTGCTGTGTGGACACCTGCCTGGGACGGGGCTCCTCTGGCATGGACCGCTGTTCCTGTTGTGACCTGGGCCTGTGTGGGTTCTGAACACACAAGTGGGTCTGCCTGTGTGCTATGGGGGATGCTGGGGACAGGACCAGTCCGCCTCTAGCTCCAGTGCTCAACTTGCAGAGTCTAAATTTAGGTGAAGGAAGGAAGGACCCCCCCCATCCCCCCGCTTGGTTTCCTATGGAGGGGAGGGTGGTGTAGGAAAAAGCCTGGCCCTTCTTACCCCAGCTGCCCTGGATGGGCACATGGGCGGTCTGTCTGGCTAGGGTTCCCCCACCCCAGCTGGGGGGTTTGGTGGTGAGAGAGGATTAATGCTCTGCTGGTTGCAGCTGCTCTGGGACACATCCTTCCTGCATAGGTCAGGGCTGAGCCAAGCCAGGCAGAGAGTCCCCCTTGGGACTTGGCAGGAAGCTGGACCAAAGCGGGCTGGGAGAATGTTGGGTGGTTCTGGCTTCCCCCCTCGCTTTGAGACGATGATGGCTGCTGGGATGGAGTGGGGGTGGGGTACCCGTCCAGGGCCCCTGGTGGCAGAGCCCAGAGTGAAGGGGTCCTGCTCTGCCTGGCTGGGTGGCAGGGACGGCGATGCGGCGAGGAGGGAAGAGACGATGCAGATCACGCTGGCTCCAGGTCAGGAAGTTTTATTGCTGACATGCAGGAAGAGTCCCCATGTAGTACAAAAATATGACTTTATACAAACTTTTTTGTGACTTTTTCCGTTTTTGTTTCTTTACAGTAGGACTTCTCTCAGCGTGTGACACCCAGTGAGGGCAGACCCAGCCTCCTCTCGTTTGCTTTGCCAGAAATTAATCAGACGGATGGGTTGACCTTGGAAGGGACCAGTCTGTCTGACAGGCTTTTGTGGACCAGGAGGATATTGCTTTGAAAAGGAGGAGAAGGACCACCAGGTGAGCGGGCCCAGAGGGTCTGGGCGGGCGGTCGGACCAGGGGCTCGGGTGAGGCCCTCACAGAGAGACAGTCACAGGCGCTGGGAGCCCTGGGCGGGACTGCATTTCCACTCCTTAGGAGACTTCTTTTTTGAAATAAATATAGAAAAGAGGGCATCCCACCCCCAGCCCCACCCCCGCGCAAGACCCTGGCTCTCAGCGGCTGGACGGCTGAGGGAGGCCAGTCTGGTGCTCAGGGGGGTGAGTGCGGGGCTCAGGTAGGCCCCTCGGACCCACTGAGGCAGAGGCTCGAGGCGCCCGTGTGCCGGGGTTGGGGGTGGGGAGGAAGGAGGCGTGGGTGGCCCTGCTACTGCTGGCAAGAGGTGGCCCCATTTTTTCCAGATGGGGAAACTGAGGCACAAGGAGGTTTTTTTTTTTTTTTTTTTTTTTTTTTTGGGACCTTGCCCAAGTCACTCACAGTGAGTCAGCTTTTGGGGAGGGCGCAGCTCACACGCTGGGGAACAAGGTCACACGGGCCTCAGTCACCTCCCTCACTGGGCAGGCAGGGCAGGGCTGAGGGCCCAGGGCGGCCTGGAGGGGGATACTCGGCTGCTCTGAGGGGCTGGGGCGGGGGGGAGGAGCAGGCAGGTCAGGGGAGGGTCTCTGCTTGGCGCTGGGCAGGGCCAAGTCCAGTGTGGGAGAGCGGGGAGGGGGGCATTCTGGTGAGAACAGGGTTTTCTGGCAAGACGGGCATCCACTTCAAAATCTCGGCTCAAAAGGGCAGTGGGGCTGTTCTCAAGCCAGGCGGGGCCCCCGGCCCCTACAGGTCTCCCTCGTGAGCCCTGCAGCCCCCAGGAAGGACCCTGGCGACCCTGGCGGTCTGCTGGGAGAGACACCGCCTCTGTTACGAGGCAGGGGGCGGGGATGCCCCTGCTCTTCTCTGAACAGAGGGGTGCCAGCTGCGCTCACAGCTGGCCGAGGACCCCCTCCCATCTGGGTCAGCATCACCTCGGTACCACGGTGAGGGGTGGAGGAGGAAACCAGGGCTAGTGAGGGTGTGCAGCACCTCAGAGAAGCTGAGCTGGGAGAAAGAGAAGCCAGTCTAGAAGACCTCCTCATCACCGGAGGCAAGGAGGGACTGGTGGGCTGGAGATGGAGGGGGCCGGCAAGAAGGGGCTTCTGAGCCCGGGGCTGAGGAAGGGGCCCACTGGGGGCTGTGGGCTCCCCTGCTGTCCAGCCAGGCTGGGGGCAGCGAGTCGCCACGGGCCAAACCACCTAGAGATGGCAGAGAAGCTGGTTTCAGTACAAAAATAAATATATTTGATTCCGCTTAAGATGAGGTGAGAGTTTTCCAAAGCTTGGACTGAGGGGCCTGGGGTCAGAAGGGGAGGGTTGAAAACAGACTGTGAGGGGCCTGGGAGGGCAGTGGGGAGTGGGCGCTCTTGTGGGGAGCCAGCAATGAGCTGCACTTTCAGCTTATGTGGACTGTTGGGGGGCAGCTGCCCCCTGGGGATCGGGGGTCAGGCGGGCGGGCTCCCTCCTCCTCCTCCTCACTCAGTCCAGAGACAGCATGGTTAAAGAGACAGAGGTAGATTAAAACGTTATGATTAAAAGCAGATTAGTTATCTAGGCTTCTCAGATTAAAAAAACCAAACAATCAAGCAATCATTCCAAAAGGTAGCTTCGCGGTACCTCTGCTGACCACACGGGTGACCTGGGCTGTTCCTGCCCCGTTCCCGGCGCAGCCCAGGCGAGTTCAGCACTGCGATGGGGCGGCGGGGCCGCTGGCTGGGGGCTGGGACGAGGTGGTGGGCGGGCGCCGGTGCCCCTGCCCGAGGCTGCTATTTCCGCAGGTAGCGCTGGGCCAGGATGGCCGCGTCCAGGGGGTTCACGGGCTGCGCGTCGTGGCCCAGTCGGCGCACGGGCGGCACCCCTGCCCCCGACGGCCGCTTGGGCGCCCAGCCGCGGGCCTCGTGCCCGGAGCTCTTCTCCTCGGCCAGCAGCAGCTGCTGGCGCATGTAGTTCTCAAATTCATACTGAGAGCTCTCCTCTGTCACCTTCGCCTTCACAGCGGAGACGGGCAGGCCGAGCGACAGGCGGGTGTGCGAGAGAGAAGAGCAGGGGACGTCAGCTGGCTTGCCTCAAGAGGCCCCCTCCCCAGGCACCACCCCCCGGGCCCGATCTAGTAGTGGCCAAGAACGGGGCTGGGGGGGGTCCCTGAAGCTCCCCAGCCAACCTGGACCTCGCTGGGCCGGCCCTCAGACCTGTGACCTCCCAACCCACTGACCGTGGGAAGACCTGGTGCCCGCCTGTGTGATAGGGCGGTACGCTCCCCTCCCCGAGGCCCCCCGGGACCAGTGCAGGCCAAGTGTTAGGGTGGCCTGGGCAACCCTGTTTCTCTATTGTGCCCCAGGCTGAGGTCCCTGGAGAAGCCCACGCACAAACTGAAGTGGGAGGTCCCACCGCAGGGGGCTGGGGGAGAGCAGGGCTGTGGAATCAGGCTGTGGTTGACTCTGAGCCCTGTGGCTTTGGGGAGGTTACTTTCCCTCTCTGAACCTGTTTCCTCTTTAGTGAAATAAGAACACACACGGGCTGCACAGGCCTGCAGTGAGGGCTGAGTGAGATGCACTTGGGGGCCCTCACTGCTTGCTAGGGGTGATTCTTTTTAGCTGCTAAACAGCCCTGGGGGCGGGTGGGAGCCGGGGGCGGGGTTCTGAAATTCTTCGAGGACAGGGGGCTCTGCTGTGGTCCTGGGCTGGCTCCACCCGGTCCCCCCGTCCAGTGCTTGCTGTGGGACTCGGGGTAGCCCAGAGACGGAGGGTCCTTACAGCTTCCCTGCCAGGACTCAGCAAGCCCTGCTCTCCAGGGGGCACCCTAAGACCACCCGCCGGCTGCTGCCAGGCATCCTGGGCCCGGCCCCTACCCCTGGCCCAGCACTTTCTCTAGTACAAGGGACAGGGGAGGAGGGAAAACCGGGAGAAAATGAATCATCTGAAAAACGAAAAGCAGGAAGGGCGAGAGAGAACCCTGTGACTCAGAGGGGCAGAGAAGTGTGGCTGTATAAAGGGCCAGCGTGTGGCAAAGCCAGGGCCTGGGCAGGAAGAGGAAGCCACCTCGGCTGCCCCACCGCCCCCTCTCAGGCCACGGAACTGCCAACTGAGCCAGACACGAGGCAGGCCCTGGGCGGCTCAGGCTGAGGAACTTGAGGCTCCCGTTCCCACTCCAAGGGCTGGGGAGAGGCCAAGGCGGCCCAGCGCCCTGCCAGGAGCTGCTACCTCCGCCCTGCCCAGCCTGCCCTGCCTGGAGGGCTGGTGCCTCAGGACTTGGCCAAATGGCCTGGCTGCCATCCCCAACTCACCTCCTGGGAGCTGTCTGCGTTGCTCATTTGGTCGTCAATGTCAGGAACCACCTGCAGAGGCCCGCTCAGAGAAGACAGGGACTGCCTGCAAGGGAGGCAGGTGAGCGAGGCTGGCTCCAGGCAGCCCGGCCCTGCTCCCCCCAGCCTGGCTGCCAGGAGCCCAGCAGGGCCGGTCCCCGCTGCTCTGAGACTTGGCTGGAGTCAACAGACCTGGGCTGAGTACCAGCCCAGCCCCTTCCTGACACCACTGCCTCTGCTGCTCCGAGCCTCAGCTTTCTCACCCAGTAAGTGGGGGACAACTTCTATCTTGCGGGCTGCGGTGAGAACTCAGTGAGATAAGGCCCATCCTATAGCTGGCATCGACTGGCACGCAGTAGGTGCCCAACCCTGAGTTCTGCCTGCGTCCTCCAACCCTGCCCATCGGGACCATCTGGAGACCTGACTCTGCCTGGTGGAGACAGGCCCAACCTCAGGCGACCCTCTGGGGAGGCAGGGCAGTGCCCATGGGTGGGTGGGACCCTGCTCTGCCTGGCCCACGCACCACGACGCGATGGTGGCGCTGAGGGCCTCCAGGACGGCGGCGGCGGCCAGGCGCTGCTGGGGGTCGAGGACGAGCAGCTTCCGGATGAGACACACGGTGTTCTCAGAAACCCGGCCGTCCCTGACGCAGGAGAGAGGGGCAGCGGGGCACTCAGGCGGGGTGGGCTGGTGCTGGGTCCCGGGCCCAGGACGCCAAGCCTCACCATGTTGTTTCCACCCCTCAAGCCCGATGGGCCGGAGCCCAGGGAGGGAGGACTCACTCGGGGATGGTGTACTCGGCGGCCTTGATCTTGCGGAAGAGCTCCTGCGGGATGCTGTCGTAGAAGGGGAACTGGCCGTAGAGCATGGTGAACAGCACCACGCCCAGGGCCCACATGTCACTGGGCTTGCCCCGGTACGGCCGGCCTGCAGGGCACACAGACACACACGTGCTCAGCCCAGCTGGGGAAGAACGGCCCTGCACTCCCTTCCCTGGCACCCCCGGGAGTCCTACCCAGGGGACCCCCCTCCACCCCGGCACCCTCACTTCCAGTCACCCTCCTGTGCTTCCTCCCAGGGCAAGCCACACTGGCCCCGTCCCTGAGCTTCAGCCAGGTGCCTTCCTCCTTTATTCCTCGGGCTGGTTCCTGCTCATGCTCTGGAGACCCGGCTGCACAGGAGGATGCCCCACCTCGGCGTGCTCCACGAGGAGAAGGGGTCTCACCTGGCCTTGTGCAGCCCACCCCTGGGGCAGGCCTCACACCGCCTCCCCCCCAGCACCAGCTCTGCTCTGCTCTGCCTGGGCTCCTGGGCGCTGGTCCAGCCCCATCAGCAGATGAGCTCACCTGGGAGCTCTAACCATCAGGTGATTTCTCCCTGAGCTCTGACTTTTGAGGGAACACTGAACTTCAGGATTTTGTTTTGATAATGACAATGCCGGCTATGGTTCATTGAGCCACACACTAGGTTAAGGGCTTATTTAATCCCACTGGGACCTAAGGAATTAGGGGCTATTATTATCCTGATTCCAGAGATGAGAAAGTAGAGGCCCAGA